AACCCTCCCTCGCGATCGAAAGCCAGTCTCCGGCGTGGACCGCAGGGCGGGTGAGGCCATCCCTTGCTCCATCCTGTCCCTCAACTGAACGAGGGGCCCTGGCTATGAAAGGGATGGGCTTCCACCCTGTTCACCTGAAGTCACAAGACAGAAACCTCTAAAATGCCCAGCGCGCCATCACACCAGGGCGCAGGCCTCAGCCACCCCGAAGGGGAGTGGCCGTCCACGCTAGCCCTGCCCCGCATGCCACGCCGGCAGCCCTGCCCTGGCGGGAGTGCCCCGGCGGCGCTCGGCCGCTCACCTGGGTCTGTTCTGGCCTCTCCTCGCCGGCCTCCAGCAGGCTGGCTGCCTCCTTCAGCAGATTGGGGATGACGTCGTTGGCTACCTCAAAGAACTCCTTGTAGATCTCCTCGTCTTCGCGGCAGTAGTTGTAGCTGTGAGAGCAGAGGGCCACGTGGGGTCTCGCCCGTGGAAGGTACTCCCACGGACCCAGAGGGGGACGGGGCCTAGGTTTCTCTTCCTGGGTTACCCCGGGGACCTCACACATGGCTAGGGCGCTCACTCCTAAACAACCGTGTCTGTGTCAGCACAGGGCAAGAGCGGGGCGTGTGGAGCCCCGGGGGGAGTGTGGGGGGCAAGTTCACTGCTGGCTGACAGGAAACTGGGAGGAGAGGGGCAGCGCAGAGGCATCAGGCCCTAGTCAGGGCTTCCTGCCTCTGGGTGGCGGAGCCTTGGCTGCAGGAGGAAAGGACTGGGACCCAGGCCCCACTCCTGGGTGAGTGGTTAGAAAACAGGTAGCGGGGGAAGGGCGGGCGGAGCCGAGTGCGGATCCTCACTCCTGGATGACGGTGGCCGTGTCCGCCCAGGCCTGCAGGGCTTCCCGCACGTTGCGGTTGCGACAGTGGTAGCCGGCCAGGTACATGTAGGGGTAGATGTGCTCGTCCCGGTAGTAGGTCTTGGCTGAGGCGATGCCCTAGGGAGAAAGCAGCAGGGCCTCAGGCAGGCTGCTGTGGGTCATCCCAGAGGGGCACCAGAGAGCCCTGCGTCCACCAGAGGCCTCTCGAGTCTGCAGGACTGTCTGAGGCTGCGCCGGACTCCAGGGGCAAGGGAGGGGCTCATCCTCTGAGTTCGGGACACACTCTCTTCCCAGGCTTCCCCACGCACACTTCCACTGACATGGAAGCCACTGGGTCCAGTCCAATACCCTCCGCACCCCCCCCAAGTCAATGCTCCCACCACCCTGGGCCTGCCAGACTCAGGGAAACCCAGGCCCCGCCCCCAGGACACCCCTCGGGCTCCTGACTGCACTGACGTGCACACCCGGCAAGCACGTGTGAGCCCACCCGGAGTCAGAGCCTTCCTCGTCGGCTCAGTCTGGCAGGCTATGTTCAGGTTTGGGCCTACCACTACGGTGAACTAATATGAAAACAGTGTGCACATTCCCAGACACCCCATGAACCTACCAAATCATACCACACACACCAGGTCTTACTCTTGGCCAGCAAGGGAACCTGGACTAAGTGGGGACTGGACGGGGCACCCGCCAAAAATGACACGTTCTCTCCTTTCCTGTCCCCTCCCGGTTCCCAGGCAGAAGGTAACCCCAGGGACTGCTGGGGCCTCCCTCTGGGCCCTCCGGAGACATCCCCACCTTGTGGTAGAGGGTGAGTGGGTCTGGTCGGCTAGGGGTGGGCTCCAGCTCCTCCAGGTCAGCCAGGTTCCCCAGAGCCATGGGGTACCTGCGAAAGGGCTATGAGTCCAGGCTGCACCCAGCCCCGAGCACCCGAAGCCCAGTCTGGCCACGTCCCCACTTACCTTTCCAGATGTCCCAGGTCGTAGAGCAGCCACAGCAGCTTCTAAGGGCCAAAGGAGAGGAGTATGAGCTGGGGGGAGGGAAGTGGGGGTGCTCAGGCTACCAGGCAGAAGTGGGGTCCAGTGCCAGCAGGGGCCTCCCACCAGTGGGCAGGAAGGAGTCGAAGCCTTCCAAGGTTCACCGCCCTCTCCCGAGTCCTGGCAAGGCCCCGCCAGGCATTAGCAACCCAGGACACAGGGCAGGCTGGAGCTGAGAGAGGGCCAGCGCCTGCCGGGGCCTCCAGGCGCCCTCACCTGCTGCAGCTGCAGGAGCTCCAGCGAGTCGGTGTGCAGATCGATGGAGGGGTTGATGGCGCACACCATGAACGCCACCTCCATCTTGCGGTCACAGCGCATGTACGAGCCTTTCAGGTATAACCAGCTCTGAGAGGGGACAGACCAGGCTATCTCAGGACAGCCTGCCCCGTGCCCGCTCCAGGAAATGACAGCCAGGAAAGGGGCCCTCTTGCCTTCCCTCCCTGACACGTTAACAGTGAAGGGAGGGGGGAATTGGCCCAAAAAAGAAGCCCCCTCAGCGTGGGCGGCGAGAGAAAGAAGGGCAGTACCCGCTCGGCCACACCCGCATTGACGGTCTGGCCCCTGCGATCCTCGTTGCCCTTGCCGTGCCAGGTGACTTCCGCCGTCTGCTCCCCGTTGGGCCCAAACACTACCCAGGCGTGGTCCTCAGACAGGGCCAAGTGGACATCCCGGAGCCCCAGAGCCTGGCAGGCCCCCACCACAGCAAAGGCCACGCCGGAGCTGTCGAGTTTGGTGCCTGTGGAAGGGAGAACAGAACAAGGGTCCTCGTGGCCTGGCCTGGGGTGGGGGCCACACGGGGCGGGCATGTGCCCTCCCACCCTGGGGCCAAAGACTCAGACCCTGCGGCTCTTCCTTCTCTCTCTGTGTTCCAAGTCTCCCCTCCATCATCCCTCAGCAAGAGACCTGGGATCCGCCATCGCTCCCGCCACTGTATTGTGATTTGGGTTCATTCGAGGTCTTCCCCATTCTATCGTGCCTATTTGAACAGGAATGGCAGAAACAGGCCGCGCGGGCGGACTCTTCACACCCACTGGCCGATACTTGGAATTATCTCTGCATGCTTTTCCTGCGAAGCTCAGAAGCAGCCTCAGATTCTATCTCAACATGACCCTCCACGCAGCCTGACTGCCATGCAGCTGGGCCGGGTGCAAAGAAAATAGCTCTTTGTAAGCCCTGAGCCTTCGGCACTTTGAGATCAAGCCCCGTCTGCTCATTATCAAACATTATTTAATTACTTCTAAAGTGCCCCAACTTGGGCTCCTCACCCCCTAAATCTGCTGCTGCCCTCTGTGTCTCTTGCTGGGCTGCAGGACTTCTGTAGCTACTCAACAGTGGGGATGGGGGTGCTGCCAAAGATTGGGGCTGTCCGTCCCCAGGGGTCCAGTCCCAGGCTGCTGTCTTCTGCCTTTGGCCCATCGTTTTCCTTATCTGGGCTTCAGCTTCCCTAAATGCAAGGGGGTGCGGCTAACACCTGCCACACCTTACAAAGCCAACAGCTTCCCAAAGGGGTCGTAAACCTTACAGCTCGGTAAAGAGGTGGGTCAAGGTTCTCGGGTGGGATGGGACCGCGCACCTTGCCATCTGTTGGGGGCTCCCACCTGTGATGAAGCTGAAGAGAGACTGGATGTGTGCTCGATCCTTGAAGTAGGAGCGGCTGAGGCTGTTCCAGATCACGTCGGAGACCTTCTTTACCAGTTCGCGGCTGGAGACGCCCCCCTCTCGCGGGTAGAGAGACAGGTCGACGGCGCCCCGAATCTGGGCAGTGAAGCGGGCATAGAGCGCGGCGATGATGGACAGGTCGGCCACCGGGAAGTAGGTGAGGCCGCCAGGAGGGTCGGGCGCGGGGCTGGGCTGGAAGGTGAGCTCGGGCACGTTGGTGGGAATGACGCGGTTGACAGCTAGGAAGTGCTCCACGAAGCCCAGGACCAGGGAGAGGAGCACCAGGTCCGGCTCCTCCCGGCCCAGCTCGGCAGCGAACAGGCGCACCACGTCGTCGATGGAGCGCAGCGGGAACAGCGTCTTCTGGGCGGCCTTCAGCCCCATGGCGGCGGGCCTCGGCCTGCGGCGAGCCAGAGGAGGAGGGTCGGGCGGGCACAGCCGCGAGCCCCCTCCCAGGCTCGGCTAAGCCCCCCCCAAGATCCCTGGCTCCCCGCCCCCTTCACCCTCCCTCCATCTGCTCCCCCTCTTCCTTGGGTGAGACCCGCCGCCGAAGCTGTAGGGCCTCCTTGGCCCCACACCCCAGGGGCTCCGGCCCCGATGGGGGGCGCGGCCCTAGCACATCGCCGAGGAACTCCAGTGGCCGCCCCACACCCCCCTCTAGGCCCGGAAACCCGGGCCCCCGGAGTCCGTCCGGAAACGCCCCCAGGCCAAGCCCCCCAAATCCCAAGGAGAGTCCTGGCCTCCGTCCCCCGCGCCCACCTCCGCGCTTACATCCCACACAAGGCACCGCGGCGCCCGCCGCCCGAGCCTGCTGGGAAATGGAGTCCCGCCCCTCGGGCCGCACTGCCCGCCGGGAAGTGGAGTCCAGGCCCGCTCCTGCCCCGCCGCGAGGAAATGGTGGCCTGCGCCGCCGGCCCGCGGTGGCTGATGGGAGCGCTCCAGAGGTAGGTGCGGAATCGAGGCAGCGCCACCTTCCCGAGGGCCTCAGGGATTGGCCGTCCCTTTTTACGCATTCAGGTAGGCCGACACGCCGTGGTGCATTCTGGGAGCTGTAGTTCGAGAAGTGACCGGGCGTTCAGGGTGTCCCGGCGCTTCTCGGGACTATCAGTGAGCTGTGGAGGAAAACCGGCGCGGTCAACTCTTGAATTCTGCCACCTTAGGTGGATAGTGACCAGCACCTATTAGCGTGTCAGTGCGCTTACTGTATAACTAGCTGTTCTCCAGTTCTGTCCACGGGAAAAATCTAACATGCGCAAAGAGGAAAACCACCGAAGAGCTACTGTAATTATTTGTAATAGGGTAAAAGGCGGAAAAGTAGCCGTAGGCATCCTAAAATGGATCTTCAGGGTATACTGGTGAAGGAAAAAAAGCTGCAGGAGCTCAGCATGACGGGCAGTACTAAAACCTCAGGGCCCTCCCCCGTGAGGTTAAAGCGCAGCACTGTGAAGCTGTAGCAGCCACTCACTGCAGCGCGAGTTCAGTCTATATGGCGCAGCAGACCTCTCCCGTCTCCCCTCAGCAGTGTATTTCAGTACATCGGCCTGTTCTGCACCCCACTTTCTCTGGTGAATCTTCTCATCCCGCCTTCCGCACTTCTGGCCTGTACCCCAGTTCTTTCATGCATAAACAAATAAACCTTTAAGAAAAAAAAAACCCTAGTTTAAAAAAATTCTAAACTTCAAATCAATACTAATAACTACAGTCAGATGCTCGTCTCTCATTCATCCAACATAGTTCAGTGGAGGCAGATGTAAGCGGGTGTGTAAATGTTAGAGAATGATTGTTAAGAATCACTCCCCCAGAGGCGGGGGCTAGGACGCCTAGGGGCTGCAGTTTCGATGGGAAGGCTGCACTGAGATGACATTTGAGCCGAACTCTGAGGAAGGAAGAGCAGGCGGACGCTGGAGGAAGGACATTCCCAACAGCTGCAAGAGCCTCCGCCAGGAAGAGCGAACAGCAAGCAGGTAGGTGGAAGTTCAAGGGCCCAGCATGGTGAGGTGGAGGCGGGCTTGGACCTGTCCACTGTGACATTCTGGACGTGTGAGAGGAGCTACAGAAGCAGCAGCTAGATGCTGCTGGGTTAGAGAAGGAAATCTGGGACTCATGAGTACAGAGGATTGAGAGCAGGTAGTGGGACGAGGTCAACACAGACTGGTCCCGGGGCTCCCCTTTCTGGAGAGGCTGAAAGACCAGGAGGATCCAGCAAAGGAATCTGCGAGGGATCGGCCAGTGGTGGGCGTGCGCCCGGGGTGTGCCCACGGTGCTAAGGCAGGGCGGACTGGAGCCCAGGCGGCAGCGTGCGATGGCATCAGGTGCCACGCCCGGGTCAGCAGGCTGAGGAGCAAGGACCGGCCAGGTGTAGCTCCGGGGGTCCCTGGTGACCATATTAAGAGCAGTTTGGGAGGGAAAGCCCCAAGGAATTGGCCTCAAGAAAAACGAGATGACCAAAAAAGGGGGGACAGAGAAAACCCCAGATTCAAGGAGACTCAAGAGACAACCAAATGCAGCATGTGATCTGAAACTGGAGATTCTATTTCAAAGTGCCAAGAACGTTCATGACACAAATTGTACCACAAAGTTGGTGACTTAAACAACAGATTGCCCCATTTTCTGAACCCCAGGACACATCAGGCAGAGAGGCCGGCAGCTTACAAAGTGATCTTTACTGGTTTCTTATTGCCTCAAGGTCCCTCCTGGGAGTGTGGCATTTGAGGAGATAAATACTTATTTGCCCTCTACTCATTGGTAGGGGTTGGTTTAATAAAAATAGTAATATAATAACAATAATGACTGTGATCAATAATAAAATGCCCCCCTCATCATCCCCTAATACACAGCTGGCTGAAGTTTTAAGAAAAAGGGCCTTCCCCGTTTTTGGGAAGGGCCAGAGTGTGCCTGGGGACCCCCCAGTGGTCCCCCTGGCTGCCTGTCTCCCACCAAGTAGCCCTTATAAATACCCTCCCATCCCATCCCTGTCTAAGAATCCTCTCGGGGCAGGCTAGAGGACTGGCAGCTGGCTCATACCAGGCCCCAGTCCCCAGTCCTCCCCAGAGAGGCCCTGCGGGAGTTCTGTCCCAGCTCCCTCTCCCTCCTCTCCTCTCTCCCCCTTCCTCCCTCTCCTCCTCTGGCTCACTTCCACTTCCTTCCCACCACTCTCACCTGCTTCTCCACTTCCTCTCTTCCCTCAGGCCTCTTCCCCATCTCCTTCATCTACATCCTTGCCCTGCTCTCTGCCCTCCTTCCCGCTACACCTGGCCTTCCCACCCTGCCCCTGAGAACAAATGTGGCTTCACCTGGGACTGAGCAGTCCAGAGTCAATACCTAGATGGCCCCCAGGGACCCAACCCTTCTTCATCCCCCATCTTGACTCTTACTTACAAGCCTCTTGGGACTTGGCACTGGAAAGAACTTTGGCACAATCGCCCCTGAACAGAGGGGCGCCCCAGACAAAAGGGGAGACTATTCTACTCCCAGAGTCTTTCCCAGGTTGGGGCTGAGAGCAGGCGGGGAAGGCGGGGTGAGGGCTGGAAGTCGGAGCCCAGGGTCCTAGGAGCCCAGGCAAACCTCCCAGTCGCTGGCCAGGCCAGGTCCCCACCCCCACCCTGAGTCCAAATTTTCACATGTCCGGGACCAGCCGGAGTCTAGCCCTCTTCAAGCTCTTTGCTCCTTCATGTCTCTCCGTCCTGGGATCAGGGTGGGCCCTGCCGGAGGGTGTCAAGGGGAGCTCTCTGATTCAGGGGCTGGAGGGAGGCTCCGGGGCCGTTCTGAGACCTGGAGGGGGAGGAGAAGCAAGTTAGGACTGCCAGAGGCCCCCCCAGAACCCCTTGGCTGCTGCAAGAGGGCCCTCAGAGGATGCCAGATGGGGAGAGTACAGGGTAAGAATCTGGAAACTCCTTTACCCTGAAACCCAAATCAAAGTCCCTGTGTTTGTTCATTCCATTCTTCACTCAATCAACAAACGTGCTTTACTCAGGGGCCGAGGACAAACTTGACCCCTAGAAACAAGGGAGGGCGGTACCCACAAAAACCACTGCACAGCAGGATGGACAAGCCATCGGGAGAAAGGGCGGAGGCCAAAGGTGGCTCCAGCCCCAGGAGCCAGTGACCGCCGGAGCGGGCAGCCCGGCTGGCATCAGACTGAGGACAGGAAAAGGCCCTCAAAGCTGAGGGCCGGCAGGGCAAGAGCCTGAAGGGGCAAAAGAACAAGACCAGACCCGGGGCTCTGAGGGGGCTGCTGTGGCTGGGGGGGGCCGCTGGGACGTGGCCGCAAGGGGTGTGGGCGCCTTCCCAGCAGCTCCTGGGTCTTCCCAGCCCCCAGCAGAACACACTGCTTTCTTCTCTGAGCCGGGGGTTGGGCATCTGTTAAGAATCCCACGAGCGCGCTTTCTGGGGCGGCCCTTCTCCCCATGTGCCAAGAAGCAGTGCTGAGGTATCACAGCCCCTCAGAACGGGCCTCACCATAGTCACCTCAACTTACAAGCCAGACAAGCTCAGGGAGGCTGGGTGCCCCCTTGAGCCAGACTGCTGGACCACCTGGAGCAAGATTTCTACGTAGGCCCACCTGCTGAGCCTCTTTCGGGGCCCAGGGAAGCGACGGGCTCAGCTTGTCCTCGGCCTTGGTCCCGGGGGCAGGTCTGAGCACAGGTCAGAGCACATCCCCTCTGCTCACCTGTATCAGGGAGGCGGCAGGACTCAGAGAACCCTGGGGACTGGACACAGACTCGCTGGATAGAGATGTCCATGGTTTCTTCTTCACTACTCCAGGAGCAGGTTGAGAGGACAAAAATCTAAGGTCAGATTTGAGGGATCCAAAGAGGGTGGAGATTTGGGGGAGGGCCGTGGAGGTGCTGGAGGTGGTGGCGTTATCCTTACTGGGGTCTGCAGCTGCAGCCAGCCCTTCGCTGCCCATGGAGGCTGGGCGCCGCGAGGCTTCCGAGAAGCTGTGGGGTCGCTGCGGGCCGGAGCTGCGGGCCCCTCGGCCATTCTCATCCGGAGCCTGTTGGGGCACAGTGCGGAAGGGCTGGGAGCGCAGCACCCAGGCTAGGCCTGCTGCATAGCGGGTGGAGGCACGGGTTGAGGTCCAGGTGCCGAGGGTCGGGGTTGCAAAAGTAAGTAGGCACAGGCCGGCGATTGGCTCAGCCTCGCCGGGAGGCTTGCGATTGGCTACTCACCGGGGACAGGTCCCTGGCGCTGGGCCTCCCGTCAACACGGCCCATGTGCACCAGGTGGTTGAAGTTGGTGGGCGGTGAGATGAGCTTGGAGCGCACAAAAGGGTCCTTCAGCATCTCCCTGCAGGCGGATGTAAGGTTGGGGCGCTGAGGTGCCACTTTTACCACGCACCCCCCGGGACTCCAACCATGGTCCTTCCCCCCTCTGCCCTGGGGCTCACCCGAGCCCCCACCCCCACCCCTACGGAGCACCCCAGGCCTGCCCCTTCGCCCCAGGCCCCGCTCCTCGTCCCAGACCCCGCCCTGCACCCAGGCCCCGCCCCTCGTCCAGGCCCCGCCCCAGCCCCAGGCCCCGCCCCCGCCCCAGGCCCCGCCCCCGCCCCAGGCCCCTGCGGCCAGTCCAGCCCAGTCACCTGCGCTGCTGCTGCCGCTGCTCCTCAGACACGCGGAAGAAGAAGCGGCGCTTGCTCTTGGTGCGAAACAGCTGGCGCCGGCTGTTGTCCGTGAGGTCGGGGATGTCGAACTCGTCCTTCTCTGTGGGAGAAGCAGAGAGCTGGGCGGTGCCCACCGCCCCCATCCCAGCCAGGGCGCAGGGGGCCCACCCACACGTGTGCCCAGGTGAACACACAGGTGAACGCACTGACGCGCACACGACCCCGCACCTGACAGCTGGTTCCTGAGGTAGGTCAGGCGGACCTTCTCGGTGCCATAGAGGAACAAGGAGCCCTCTGGGTTCAGGGGTCGCACCTGAGGCAGCAAGCACAGAAGTCACCCCGGCACGCTCCACCCCACCGGGCCCCAAGGTCTGGGCACGCCCTCACCTTCTTGAGCGGCACCGTCTGGACCCATTCTGCTCTCCTCACGTCAAACACATCCATGGCGTTCTCGCTGAACACTGTCAGGTAGGGGGCTGTGTAGCCTGCAGGTAGCAAAACGGCTGTGCTGTGCCCCCTAGCCAGCGCCTCTCTCACGCCACAGCGTGGGAACACCCTGTGCCCTGCCGCCGCACAGCGGCTTCCACACCCCACCCCGAAGACTCTCTAGCCGCCCCACCCGCCTCCACAACAAACCAGCGATAGCATCAGGAGCCTCATTGGGGCTGTGCAGACATAGTTCCAGCCACTTGGCATATTTTTTCTCTTAACTTCTCAAACAACTCTGGGCAAGTAGTGTTCTCATCTCTACCTTAGAGACGAGGGACGAGATGCCCACACTAGGTAGTGGCCAAGGTCACCCAGAGGGAGGGAGAGTGGGAATCAGGTCCAGGCACCCTGGGCCCTAGCTTGTCTGTGCTGCGGCCCCACCCCAAGAGAGCCACTGTTCACCCCAGGGGCTCTGCCCCTGCCCCCAGGCCACCCCACCACATCAGTCACCTGTGAATGTGCCAGAGGCCCCACTGCCGGGTACGTGCATTAATTTGTTCAGTCAATCGAGCATTCCCTCGTTCCTCCCTCCCCAAAGCCATAGCCCCCGGGGGTGTGTGCCTGGCCAGGGGCACGCTCCAGTGCCCCGCACCAGTCAGTACAGGACGGTGCTGAGAGCCAGGGCAGAGGTCCAGCGGGGAGGAGTAGCCGAGGACCAGCGGGGAGCGTGAGAGCAAAACTGTCACATCGCTTGGCGCAGGGAGTCTGAGAAACATGTCGCGAGGCAATGTTGTGTGAACGCCACAGCATGCAGCTGCCCAAGCCCGGGGGCCGGCCGCGCCTGGCCTCCAAGCCCAGCCCCTCGGACCACCCAGCCTCAAGGGGTTGAGGGCCGACTGCAATGCTGTCAAGCGACACGTAGCCAAGTGACAGTGACAGCAGTGCCAGCGGCCATGAAAGGGGAGCCCACCCATTCCAGGCTGGGGGCAGGCGCTGTCCGGGCCCGAGTGGGTCGACTGCGAGGAGAGCAGTGCAGCCGGGATACGGCTCAGACGCGGGGGGCCGGGGGCAGCGCAGGATGTGGCCTCCGGGAGGGAACCCACCGGCCTCCGAGGCCAAGCCCGGGGCTGGCAGGACCCTGTCTTCACGTGTGTGGCACCCTGGAGGTGCCCAGCTCCACCCGCCCGCTCCCCTCCCGGGCCTCACCCCAGCCCGTGGGCATCGCCGGCCACAGCAGCTCTTGGATGCGAGACTTGCGTCCAGTGCTGTCCACATAGACACCGGCAGTGGTGAAGAGCAGCAGGAACTCGCTGAGGCTGAGCTCCACGGCACCCAGCGCCTCGCCCAGGCCCCCACGGGACGGCGGCAGGTCCTCGGGCACCAGGCCAGTCCCCAGGATCACGGGCGCAGCCTCGTTGAGCAGCGGGTACAGGGCGAAGGTGCCGGCGGCACCCACACACAGCCGGTCGCCCAGCAGCCCCAGGCTCTGCACCGGCGCGGGCGCCTGCAGCTCGCGGATACGGCGCTGCCAAGGCCCCGGGCCTGGGCCCAGCTGGTAGCAGAGCACCTGGCGCTTGACGGCTACGCAGAGCACGGGGGTGCGGGCCTGCAGGATGCGCCCCGCTGCCAGCACCTGGCAGCCTCGCGACTCGGGGATCTTGGTGCCAGCCGCCTCCATGCTCTCCAGCTCACTCAGGGCAAAGAGGCGCACGCTAGGGCCGCGGCCACACAGCGCGGCCAGGAGGCCCGCCGCGGGGCTCACCGCCAGCCGCTGCACCCTCCGGCACTCGCCCACCTGGAAGATGTCTGCGGGTTGGGGAGGGAGCGTGTCACCAGCAGGCGCCGGCCAGGCGCCCCGCCCAGCGGGCACGTACCGTTGCTGCGCAGGTGGATCACAAACAGCCCTTCCTCGGTGCCCAGAGCAAGCCGCTCCTGGTCTGGAGAAGCAGCGACAGGGTCAGGGTCAGGGGCACCTGGCAGTGGGAGCGCAGCCCCGGGCCCGCAGGCACCAGTGGCCCTGCGTCACGCCCCTTCCCCCGAGTCTGAGCTGGCTCGAAGCGGGGAGGGCCATGGGGCGAGACCCACCAGCCCCAGCTGCTTGGGCTAAGTCACATCCCCTCTCACAGCCTCAGCCTGGCATGTAAAGTGGGGAGGAGGAGGGCACCTTTCCCACAGAGCAGCTGCGGGGCTGGGAAGAGACCAAGTGAGTCGGACGAGCGTGAAGCAGAGCCAGCACCCTGTCCGGCCCCTCTGCTCACAGGCACCCCCGCCCCCCGCCAAGCGCCCTGCCCTGCCACTGCTCCCCGAGCACCGATGCCCCCTCACCGGGCACCCCGATGCCCCCTCACCGGGCAC